AGGAAATTGATCACGCACCTAAACAGGATTTGTTGTTAATTATAGGTGATTGGAATGCAAAAGAAAGAAACAGAGCAGAACCAAACATTGAAGAAGAATTTGGCCTAGGTTCAAGAAATGAAGCAGGAGAGCTACTGATTGAATTTTGTCAAGCCGACAATTTGTTCATCACAAACAAATCCTTCAAGCAACCAAAGAGGCAACTGTATACATGGGCATCACCTGATGGCCAATATAGAAATCAAATAGACTACATAAGTCGAAGCAGATGATGGAAGATGGAAAGAGAATGGAAGTCCTTTGACAGCATGCAGACAGACAAGGAGAAAGGTGCTTCTCTCTTGCTGCCTCTTGGCTTTCTTTTGTCATGTGATAAACAATCAGTGATGTAGAATCTTGGCTGTTGTTGTTCTATTTTTATTTAAACCCATCCTTCCTGTACTTCTGACAGAAGTACACATCATTTGCTAGTTTTGTCCTCCACCACTGCAGATAGGCATTTCAGTTTGTTAATTAGATGGTATTTATAAACCTGAATTAATTGATAAGAAGGCATCATTGCTAAATCCTCCTTACTAAGGAAATCCTCCTTATTAAGCACATGCAAAAAACAGCATATGATGTTTCCTCTTCAAATCACATAAGTCTTTCACCTTTTATCAACTAGGAAAATGTACTCTCTGCTTGTTCATTTTCTTCTTTGGCCCTTAGAATGGTTTTCAAGATAAAGCCTAGTGAACTAGGAATCAAAAAGCCTTGTATGAACTCTCTTGCAGTGGAACTTGGAAGAAGCAACAGAGCTTAGTTGTGTCAATATACACATCTTATAAGAAAGGATGAGTGCAACGTCTTCTGCACTATCCATGACATAATTTCACATGTGGTTGGCATTTTCTACAGTCCCATGTTTATGCATTCCCAACTGCAGCACTCTTTTCAGCTCCTGAAATGCACTTTAGAGCAAAATTTATGTTCTGCTTTTTCTGCAAATTAAGGGCAAACATAAGCTCTGATGTGGCCCATCAACATAGATTTTCCTACTGTACCATCATTTAGTGTCCATATGAGACAGTCAATAAAAGAGGTTGTGACACACCCTGGAGGCTGGCATCCCAGGCAGCCATTGGATAGGTCAATTTAAATGGGTTTGAGGTTACGTCAGCTTCACTACTGGGACCCAAAACACCATCTTACCACCCTTCCGTTATGGATAGCTTCAACATATCAATATAGTTATTCTTGTATTCATTATACTCTTTCCAAGCTTTGTATAAAAGATCCCATCAGATTAGTAGCTTCACCATCTACTGAATTAACAAAGTGGTGAGTCTCTTAAATATCTTAGGGGATGAAATCTGATATGTGTATCAGTACTGAGGTGTCAATATCTGAGAGCCCAGTTCCCCCAAAGAACACATAATGTTCAGTGGCTTGGCTGAAAAACCCAAAAAACTTCCCAAAGTTGTTTTCGCAGTTCCCAAACCAACCTTATTCACACACAAAAATTGCCACTTCTTGAATCCTCCAGGAATGTCAATCTACATTTTAAATAGGTTGCAGTGGGTCTCACTTTACTGTTGAACATGGAAAATAGCATTTTTAAAAAAACAGAAATGTACACAATGATGTTACCCACCCCTGATCTAAGTGTTAAGTTCTGTGTAACAGTTACTCCATGTATTAGCCTCTGGAGCGCAGAGCTGCCAAAGCTTGATACAAACATGGAGTGATGCTGCCCAGCCAAGTAAGTGGAGCCTATAAATTTCTGCCTTTCTGGAGCATCTGTGTCTAAAAGTTAAGAGCGTTATGTAGTCATCTGTGTGTGTTCTGTGTGTCTTCATGGCTAAGGAAAGTCTGTTTGTACCAGGCCTTCAGTTTGGACTACACTTGGCCCTCCATATCCATGAATTCTTTAGCCACCTATTCAAGCATCTACAGCTTGAAAATATACAAAAAAGTATACATTTCAAATAGCAAGCCTGGATTTTGTCATTTTATATAAAGGATACTATCCTACTATGCCATTATATTTACAGGGACTTGAGCGTCCATGGATTTTGGTATCCACGGGGTGAGGGGGGAGGCTGGAACCAAACCCCAGTGGATAATAAGGGCCCACTGTACTCAGTCAGTCAGAAGCTCTTTCTAGCACAATATAGGTCAGACAGAATTTTTTATCAGAACCACTCAGTTTATTGTGGTTCAGAACTACTCAATTGCATTTCAGTTGCAACAGATACCTAGAATTCCAGTTCCATTCCAGTTGCCTCCATAGTCACTGGTATTCCTGCATAAGCGTCAATGCAAGAGGTTTTTGACTCAAAGATTCTGGACCCAAATTCAAGAAAGAAATGGATACTATTAGGAAGGTTTGATACTTGATAGAATACATGCTTTTCATGCAGACTATCCCAGGTTCAGTTTCCAGTATCTCAGTTAAAAAGTTTGTACCAGGGGTTATGAGAAAGACCTCTCTGACTGAGACCTTAGAAAGCTACTACAAATTCAAAGTAGGCAACATCGATCTAAATCACCCTTTCCCACCTTAATACCTCTCCCACTTTTGGAGTCCATCTCTCATGGCTATTTATCACTGGCCGCATTAGCTGTGGCTAGTGGGAGTTGTTGTCAAAACACATGGAAAATATCACATCAAGGAAAGCTGGCCTTGAATGGACAAATGATCTTAGTTATAAAGTAATGTTCTATGTTTATAAGAGCGAATTGCTAGCTTCGTCTTTGCCACACTCCATTAGCACCACTGTAGATGACCAGAGGAGATATTGTAGCTATTAGCTGACCAGGCATCAGGTGACAAAAGGGGCCAGCCAGGTTCCATGTATCCCCATAAATCTTCTGAGTTTGTCCATAGTTTTTCATCAGAACAACTCATCACTCAAGTAAATTCCACCTGCTTACTTATTGCATTGATTGCTTATTGGTTGAAGTAATTTTGTAGGCAATTATTGGTACACCTTCAGATCCCCTGCTATAACACTGAACGACAAGCGGCTTCAAGCTATTAGGGTTCTTAATCATTACTCAGGATCCAAAGGTTGGCTTTCCACAGTATGGGGAGGAAAACATATCTTCCACTCTTAAGTCTGACAATGACATAATAAGAATGAAATTATCCTATAATCTATAGGAGATTTTGGTATAATATGATCCAGAAACAATTTCCAGCATTGTACTTTCAAACCATCAACAAGGATCTACTCATTCTTTGCTGCTTAAAAAATAGCCTTTTTTTTTTTTTTGGTCCAATACCCAGAGCATTTAAGTGGAGGATGAAAGCATACATAAACAGAAGAATAAGGCAGAATCAATTACAATTACAAATCCATTAACATATTATTTTCTTATTATCATTCTGTTTTAGTAAAAGGAAGTACTCTGCCAACTATTTTTGTATCAACACATCTAAATTACCATCATATACCCAGCCTTATTTCTTTGCTCTTATCATAATGCTTTTGTACAACTCTTATTTATGAAGACATTCTGATTCTAGAATAACATGTATTGTCATAGCTGGGTTTTGCCCCCCAAAATGGCAAAGTTTGGTACATTGATTACTCTTAAAATTGAATGTAAACCCATTTCAATCAATGCATCATAAAAAATATTAAACATCTATGCTACTAATGTACAGGTAGCCTAATTAAAGTGCCAACATTTGCCACACTTACATACTTTAATTTTCCCAACAAAATCCTTATTGAATGACTATTTAAAAAAATAATTGCATTTGCAATTAGAAACACTGAAGTTGCATTATCGATTTTCTGCTAAAAACCCTTTTAAGTAAACAAGCACAAACTACATTCATTAAATGTAACTGCTTGGAGCTATGGTGTGAAATTCAATTCAGCCATTATCATGAATTACACTGATTATTGCTGTAATTATTTTCTCTTGGATACAACTGCATTTCTGTTCTTTACTAGGTCTGTTGGACATATAACTAGATAGTGCATTATAACTAACAATACTGTACTGCAGTTTTGGCAATTACAATCACTTACCCAAATCATTATGCTGAGACACATTGGGAGCCAGTGAAATTTTTAAGGGTAAAACATCTCCTTTTTTAAACCCTTGAAATAACTAATCTCATTAATGAATAGAGGGAGCTAGAATAAAAAATGTATTAGGAGATGTCATCACTGCTGTTTACAGCCATAAATATTTTTGGACATTTATATAGCATTTTTAAAACAAGAATAGAGAATTTCTCCATATATATTATACTAAGACTCAAGGTAACAACACAGTAAAAGGAATACAAAATAACAAATTCAAGTTAAAATTGTGCAAATTACACCAAATTAAAATATCTTTCTTCAACACTGGTATGATTTCTACCTGTCATGTGTAAGTCACTTTTAACTCATAAATAGCTGGTGCTATTTCAGGTGAAGTTTCAGTCTGCTGTTATCCCAGTTGAATGTCTCCATTCTCTATTTCAGTCTCCCCACCCCATACCTGTAGCCACATATGCTTGGAAAGTAACCTTCCAGTGCAGGTAGGCAAGTAGGGGGATCATACACAAATGGATGTTTGCAGTCAACCCAATCAATTGGGTGGGCATTTGTAGATAATTTCATGTTGTAGAAAGGCACTAAATTCCATCTGATCTGGGAATCTAAGCAGCATCAGCCCTGGCTAGTACTTGTAATGCTCTAGTCTTACTACTTTCTGGATGCATTGGATGATTCCTCTGCTTATTCTGTTCCTGTTTTTCAAAGAAGCAATAAAGTTCTTGTCCATCTTCTTAAATGTTGTGTCCTGTAAACTTTCCATGATATGCTTGCATAGCCTCGGGAAGTGACTAAATAGTTGTGCAAAGTGGAGGGGGACCCCCATTTCCTTTCCTTGCAACTTTGCACCAGTGACAGCTGGTGGCTCCCATGCCCGTTGGCTAGTGTATCCATTTTCTAGGAGGTTCAGCACCTTGGACAGCTCATTTAAAGCTAGCTAAAACCTGGAACAATTGAGCTAGAATGGCATAGTGGTTTGAGTGTTGGGATTATAACTCTCAAGACCAGGGTTTGATTCCCAGCTTGGCCATGAATCCCACTGGGTGACCTTGGACATGTCACAGGCTCTCAGCCTCAGGGAAAGGCAACAGCAAACCTCCTCTGAACAAATCTTGCCAAGAAAACCCAATGATAGGTTTACCTTAAGATAACCATAGGTCAGAAATGACTTGAAGGCACACAACAACAAACAACAACAAAACACAAACAACAACAAAACCTGGAATGGCTTTTCCAGTCCACTGACATGGGAGCCACCAGTCAGCACTGCTCAGCACTATGCCGTCTCTACTGAGGGTGCTTTTCATTGACACACATGAAGAATTGAAATACAACCTAGTAGTCATAACTGACTGCTTCACAAGCATGCCAGTTGGGACATTAATAGTCTGGTAAACATCTGCTTCCCCCATTTTATAATATAAAGCAAGGATCAAACACTAAGAAAAATAATCTGTCAAATATGAATCTCTCTCTTTTTCAGAGGAAGTGTTCAGCAATTTTCTAAATACTATCCTACTCTATTTTTCCCTTACTTGTCCATCAAATATGAAATTAATTCCCTCTCCCCATCACCACCACCACAAGCTGGTTCTAAATTAAGATGAAGAAAGATCTAACAAGCTCAACTGACAGAATTCAACACACAATAAGGTAACAGATAGCCAAAAATACCTTCTTCACAAGGAAACATTTCCCTAGGCCATGGGGGGGGGAGGTAACATAACCTCCCATGGAAAAAAGAAACAAGTAGGATTTGCTGCATTAGTTCTGCTTAGTGAACCATAAATACTAATTGTAGGAAGAATGAACTCACCCCCACCCCTAAATACTTGAGGCAGGAACACACAAAAGATCCATATGACTACTACAAATAATGAGGTATGGTACTGATAAAATGAGTGTAAAACAATCTTATTGAAAGTGAATAGGTTAAAGTCTTCAATGTAACAAGCTTTTTTAAAGGATATCTTGAATAAGAATAAAATATGAACATCTAAAATGTAGAGACTCATCTAGAATAATAATTTGAATTCACTAATAGGCTTTACAGATAATAATTCTCCTTGTATATTTGATTGTGCAAATGGGCCAAACTCTTTTCTCTTCTTAGATGCACTATCAGATGTTTCCCATTCCAGTGATATCCCTCCACTAGTCAGTCTTCCCAAGAATATGGTCTGTCACTCAGTGTAGTGAAGGCGAATATGAAGATACACTACTTATTGGGAGGAAAGGGTAATGACTGGCCTTGAAGCTAAGTATTAGTTTTGTTCTTTCCAATCTAAACTTTCCTAACCAACCTACTTAGCTACAGGACCCAAAACTGCTGAAATAAATACTGACAAATGCCTGGGATATAATCTTCTCAAGAATAGCCTATTACTAAAGGCATAGAAGGGACACAATGGCTCAAGTGGTTAAGACGCTGACTCTGTTGATTGCAAGATCGTCAGGTTGACAGTTTGAGGCCCGGGTGCTGCACCATGGGGTGAGCTCCCATCACTAGTCCCAGCTTCTGCCAACCTAGCAGTTTGAAAGCATGCAAATGCAAGTAGATAAATAGGTACCACTTTGGTGGGAAGGTAAACAGTGTTCTGTGCAATCGTGCTGGCCACATGACAGTGCTGGCTCTTTGGCTTAGTAATGGAGATGAGCACCACCCCTTATGGTCAGACATGACTTGACAACCTTGTCAATGGGGTATACCTTTACCTCTACCTTTAGAAGTGAACTCACAAGACACACACACACGTATACACATCCCTGTCAATGCTCATTGGAGAATTCTAGAACTTATACTCCAAAGACATAATATTAAAGAGAATAATATAATAATATAAATCTAAACTAGTTTGGGCCTATCCATCTTCATGTAAAGGGAATTTTTTGTTGTGGGATCCAATGAACCAAGCAACACACCACTCATCATATTGTTAAGTGATACCTTTCCAAGGTACCTGAATATGCTGGAATGAGGACTATTCAGGACAGCACATTGGGGATTCAGTCAGTTACAATGATCACTGGCTCCATTCCTTCATCTATTCATTCTGTGCCACAGACTGAGATCCCACCTCCCTCATTTTTGGTATATTTCTGAGAGACAGAGGATCCATGTAGACATGGTGAGTAAGCAATTGGCTGTCACTTGTATGGTCATTTTTCATATATCTTTCCATAGAACATTTTAAAATTCACATTTTTATATAAATTCAGCAGAAAGAGCTTGAATGTTTGAACAAATATGGAAGCATCAGATGACATGAGTGCTTAGCTCTGGGTTTGAATCCTTATCTATTCAGTCATGTTTATGACGCCAAATACAGTTCTTCCCTCATTTTTTTTCTGACAGGCACCTTATATTTAACAGCTATTTGCAAGAAGATAAAGCATCATTCACTCTACAAAGGGAATTTTGCCAGGTGCACATAGCTGAGAATTTTATTTGCCTTATTTTTGTTCATTTTTAAGATAAAAGAAAGTAAAATAGCTATATTCATCCACACTTTGTTGTGTTGTTGTGAGCCTTCAAGTCATTTGACAGTGTGACACTAAGGCAACCCTATCACAGGGCTTTCTTGGCACAGGGTTTTCTTTGTTCTGAGGGGGTTTGCCATTGTCTTCCTCTGAAGCTGAGACCAGCACTTAAACCACTACACCACACTGGCTCTTTGAAATGCTAAAGCAAGGCTAGTGAAACTTCGAACCTGACTTTTGTAACTGCTGAAGTTCCCCAAGCACCCAAACAATTATTTTTAAAAAACTGTGATTTTTCAGGCATGGTTTGCCTTCAAACCATGCACAAAGATGTCCCCCGACACACGCACACACATGAAAACATGCAAAATGCCTGCAACCCACTCCTAAAAGCACCTCAGAACCCCACACTGCCACCAAATATCTCCTTTTTTTCTCTGCAATCCCTCTTGCAAATGATGACCGGAGGTAACACAATGTCATTTCCTGCTGCCATTTTGACAGGGACTGCAGAAGAAAATGGAAGTATTTGAGCTTGCTGTGTGGGAATACAGTCTGCAGAGGAGGAGGAACTGGCCTCTCACCCACACACTGTTGTCCACCCCACTTTAAAGCATTTGTGACCTTCCGTTATCCCTCAATATTAGCTAAGTTGGGTAGAGCTGAAGAGAGTGGCCATCTTAACCAGGTCTGGACATCTACAGATCCTCTATCCCCATGTAAAGCATTCAAAGAGGTACCCACCTTGTCTGAATATTGCCCTGGTGTGTTCATGCCACTTCAAGCATTTGTCTCTACACAACTGAAATAGTAGAATCTGAGGCAATCTACACACCACACATGCTTCTTCCAGAGGGCACTAGCCAGATTGTGTATAACAATTCAGCCATGTGACAGCCCTGTTGTCTCTCATTTCACCACACCAAAGACAGACTTTCTTGCTGGCAAGTACTAACATATAAAAAGACTCTTGGAGAAGGGCCCAATTTGCAAACAGCCTACTCATTGCTATCACATAAGCAAGGTGCATCTATAAAACAAAGCTTGGGAACGCTACGTTTTGGACTACAACTCCCGGAATCCCCCAACTGCCATAGCCAGTCCAAATAAAGTCACTTTTTAAGACTCTGAGGAGTAAAACAATAGATTCTCTGAGGGGATTCTTCTCATATCTTCCCAATCTTCTATTCTGGCATGGCTGCACTTGGCTAACAGGTTTGCTATAAATTTGGAACACTGAGTCTTTGTCTCTGACTCTTGTACTGTCTCAGTTTTTCCCTTTTTTACTGAAAGAACCTAAAGATCTTCCACAACTTGGCTGCCCCAACAAAAAGAAAAAGAAAAAAAATCTCCTCCCATTTTAGAGCTGCTTAGAGTTTTAGAAGCATGATAGCTATTAAAGTCTATGAAAGTCACCCAGCCAAATCCCACAAAGATCTGTGAAACCTTGAAATGCTCCATCAAAACAGTGTTGTTTCGATGTAAAATTATATGATAATATGGGCAGCTGTGCCTTTGGCTGATGCACAGATGGTGAACAGAATGGAAAGTTGGATTTTTTTTCAAAAGAGTCTGGGTTTTAGAATAAGTTCTCTTACTTGCATCCTGAATTCCTCCTCATTCTGGCATTTACAGCCCCACATATCTACCATAAAGAGCCCTTGATTGTTAATTAATACATCTTTTGCAGTATCGCCCAGGAGGTGATCTAGACCCCTTACTGTGTGTTGGCAGCATCCAGCAACATAATGAGATCAGGAAGCGCAGATTTAGACACAAAGTGTTTGCCTTCTACTGCATGCACTTACCGTTTTTACATGTTCTCATTGCATTTTTAAAAATGTGATAGCTTTCTTGGGTCTTTTCTATAGCACTACAGGTACTTGTTTCAAAAGTCATTGCATGGACTTCAGGATGTTTCCTCCATACTAAAAAAATTTGGTCCTCCAAATCTTTTAGACTTTAGTTCCAGAAGACACAGCCAGCAAGACCAATGGTGAACTACTGTAGAAGACAAACATCTGGAGAGTCAAAGGGCCTTTACAGATTGCTAGAAATAGTGCAAATTGAGTCCACTTTAACTGTCCTGGCTCAGTGCTAGGGAATCATGGGGAATTGTATTTTTTCTGGGACACTGAGCCTTCTCTGTCAGAGAGCTCTGGTGCCACAATAATTGACATTTCTTATGATTCCCTAGCACTGAGCCAGGACAGTTAAAGTGGACTCAATTTGTACTATTTCTGGCAGTCTGCAAAGGCCCAAAGTTTCCCCAACCTTGTTCTATCTATACACAGTTATTAGGCTTGTGTCCTCCCTATTAAATCCCATCTCCTTCAGTCTCTATTGATTAAAAATGCCATTTTAAATGTCAGCTCCTCTGCTACCAGCAAGCATGCATCCACACACAGCATCTCCAATGGTAAATTGTGCAAAAAAAAATTCATTAGCATGTACACATTTTGGGCAAAATGAATAAATAAACAAAACTGATTGTTAATTATTTTGAATGACATAACTGATTAAACAATATAAAGAATTCAAATCATTAAA